CTAAGTCTCTTGTACTGCGGCCACTTCTGGCCTATTGTACCAGTCCCAGATGATAGGTGAAGGTGATTGTGGAGCAATTGGTGGAATGAAGATTGGCAGGGGAATCCCAAGTACTCGGAGAAAACCTGCCCCAGCGCCACTTTGTTTGCCACAAATCCCACTTGACCAGACCCCGGGTTCGAACCCGGGCCGCCGCGGTGGGAAGCCAGCGACTAACCGCTTGAGCTATGGCGCTGCCTAGTTTTCCACTTACTATATGTACGAGTATCTTGGGTCCACATATTCACGTCAGCACTTTATTCTGAGACACCCTCAATATACTGTACGTATGTTCTTCCCAAGATAAATTACTATTTTCCGCAATCTGTGGACGAGATATGAAATTGGTATGAAGGAGAATGGTGAACGTAATGTTGCGCTCGCTTTACTCTGCGTCCAGTAAATGCGTGTGAAATTTACGTTGAGTTCTCCGTGACACTGTGTACACTATCTTCTCAGACTCATGACTTTGATTTGCAAATATTAGGCCCACTGGGTGGGGACATAGCGGAAGAAAGGGGCTTCTTAAATATTTGTACAGAATATTTGTAGCCTGCTTGAAATCCTTCATGTTTTTGTAGTGTTTTCGTGCCATCTGACTAGTCAGTTGGCTCCGATATTAGCCGGAAGATCCGAATTTGTTTATCGCTCGTGGATTAACATATTTTACTTAGCGTGTTTCAGGGGCCGCGCCATAGCTCAAGCGGTTAGTCGCTGGCTTCCCACCGCGGCGGCCCGGGTTCGAGCCCGGGGTCTGGTCAAGTGGGATTTGTGGTGGACAAAGTGGCGCTGGGGCAGGTTTTCTCCGAGTACTTGGGTTTCCCCTGCCAATCTTCATTCCACCAATTGCTACACAATCACCCTCACCTATCATCTGGAGCTTCAAAGACGTAAGTGGCCACTGCTCACAGCTGTAAAAACAATGGAAGAGTAATTTATATGTTGATGCTTTTTTAAACGAGGCAAGATGACGCTTACATAAGTGGCCAGAATCAGGTGCGTTTCGGGCCATGAACGTAAGAGACCGTGAAATATTATCAGGCTGCAGTACCAGCGTTATCCTGTAGTTACCCGGAAGAAGGTAGACTTAAAATTGCTGGCATGCAACAGGTATTCGAAGCTAATACCTCCTTAATCCGTGAAAGACGCTTCATTCAGTGTCATCTGTTTGGTATAACCTCATACGTAGAGACACTTAGTAGGCGAGAGAATAATGGTAAAAGGGGATATACACGTACAGTATAAGAAAATGAACTGATTTAAGTTGACGGTGGATACGGTCCTAAGAATGGGATTTGTGGTGTCGACAATGAAAGTTCATGTTCCGAAACAGCAAAATAATTCTTAAATATTTGTGCCCACTGTTCGGCGACCGCCATACCGAGGAGCCAGACAACTGTATCATAAATTTTTAGTCGAATAATGAGAACCGTTTCCTGAATTTATGTAGTAATTGACGTTATCACTGTTGTATAGGTACCCATCTACCAAACTATACGACGTTATGTACCAGAAAACAGTAATCTCTACAGGATTTAATTTACCTTTATTCCACCGTGAAACTTTCTTTCTGTTAAAAAGCAATATATGTATATATATAAACGAGTAAATTTATAACTGTAGTCATAACAACAAAAACTGCAGCACAACATAGAAAGTTGTCACATACAGTCACATACCAGCACAACATTTACAAGTAAGCCTGCACGCCACTTCATGTGCAGTTTAGAAAAACCTCTAAAGGCAGCATTGAAATACGACCTGGCACAAATACCACACCATCAGGCCAGTCATACTACTGTTACCACACAACTCTTTTTCAAGACATGTTTTAAAGTCAATACTTCGAGAAATTATGTATGTTCAAATAGTATGCATGCAGATACAACAACACAGACATTCATATCACCAAGAAACCAATAATTTATATAAGCGTATTCATACCAAATACTGGTATACGCAAAAATACACTTTCCATAGTTTGTCCACACTCTACCCTATACTTATGCTCATATTTAATTTGTTTATCTTCTGTTTTATTTTAATCTCCTGTAACTTTAATATTTCATTATTATATTTGTAATATGATATGTATACCTATTGCTAGGTAACAACTCGGTAAACGCATTCCCTCGAGAGCCAACACTTGCGACAGTAGGACGTGTATTGCTAGGCAACGGCGCAGTAAACATTCCTTTTCAACAATAGTGGCTGTGTTTTCTGTGTGGTCCGTGAAGAGGGTTATAAAATGAAAAGGATAGAGTCGGAAGACACGACCAAGCATAGTAGTCGAGACGGGTTTCGAAATGCCAGTCTGCCAGGATATGAGCTTGGAATTGAATTGAGTCCTCGAAAGTGGCAGTTGCAGAATAATGTCAATAAAGGAGTTAGGCTGTGAAAAGAAGACTCCACGTGTGATTTGAAGCGACAGTGAGACTGTTTTAAATCCGTTGCCAAGTTGCGGTTAGTGAAAGCTTGAGTCGTAGTGCGTGTGTAACGGTGAATTGTAAAGTGTGTAGACTAGCGATAGCGCAGTCTTACCTTCAGTCCCGAGTTGTGTCATTGTGTAAGGTACAATAAATCCAATCATCCAATCCAGAACCCGTCCTATAAGTCACGCACCGTCCTTACACGTGACAGTATTTTAAATCTTAGTATTTAAGTTTTTAAGTAATTATCGAACTGAACAATAGAGCAGAATATATAAAAAAAAACTTATGAACAAGGGACCTGTGTTCAGTGGGATATGTGGAAAGATATATTAACTGATTGTACCACCTGAAACTGACCCAGTTACGGGGCCGAAACACTTGATGGACTAAAAAGTACCTAAATGCTAGGTAATTGTGTTTATGGTATTGAATAGAATTTTTACTTATATAAACGCAAGAGGTGCCGGTCACGGTAGCCGAGCGGTCTGAGCCATATACTTTCTTCGCTCGCTCGGAAGCCGGGATCATGGGTTCGAATCCCACTTAAGCCATGAATGTTTGGTGTGTGTATGTGCTTATTCTGTGTTTATGCTCTCCTGTGTTTAGGTAGAGACCTTGGGACGAGCTGATCACTCGTCCAAGGAGTGCTACCGTCTGTAAAAAAAAGATCATGAAACTGAAAATCAGAGGCCGGTACCCAAAGGGGGCTGTAGAACCACTTAAAAAACTCAGCAGGTTGGAAAAACCTAAGACTTCTGTTCTTATTAAGCAAGCAACAGACCAACAAGCTTAGTAACTCTCATGTTGTGGTCTGTGTTAGGCTAGAAACACACACAGCGACATCGGTCGTACGGAAAAATGTCGTACGATTTTTTTACCGGTCGACCTCCTTTTCACACTAGAGCGACCAAATACATTTCTTTGCTCTCCGACTGCCGTACGGTAGATGTCGCATGTGGTCACGTATGAAAGCTAAGACTACACTTTATATTGTACTACTTGATGCGACATGAACCGTACGGACGTCGTACGACCGATGTCGCTGTGTGTGTTCCTATCCTTACACTGCGCAATCTTGTAGGTGGGTACCAGCAGTCTGCCTCCCACTATCAGACCTACCATAGTCATAACCTGGAGAGCTAAACAGGAATGTCCACTGCCAGTCCCATATTAATCTAAGTAAATAAGACGCTGATAATGCAGTTTGAAGGTTCCATACCGGTGACACCAAAATTGGTTATTTGGATTCGTCCTGAGCCATTGCGACGTATCCCATGTCATCGTGTGCATCCCTGTAAGCGGTACATTCCTTCTCCGGCTCCTCATGCTAAGTAGCAGTCCTGTCCCACTTCGCGGTTGCTGTCCAGCCCATCGAAACGTATGTCTTCAGTTCTTTGTCCGGTGTTATGGTACAAGACGTAGTTTATGCTGGTTTCTGCGCAAAATATACATCATGAATACGCTTCTTACGCCCGGTTGTGGTTTCTTTAAGAAAAACTGAACAGGTTTCGATTAAATTTGCTGTTGGGTCTCTAATCTTTGACCCTGATCGGTTTCGCTGTTAGCTCCATTTGACATGAAATGTCTCGAAACCGCCTTCTTGAAAACAACAGGTAAAGTGACTTAAAACGCATTATTTGTGTTTCTGCACTGGGCAGTTTTCAACGTTTTTTGACTGTGTGGTCATCTTTTTTTTTTTTTTTATTTTTCCTTGGCACTGCAGCCCCAGTGGGCCTAGGCCTCTCTCCATGAACTTCTCCGTTCACTTCGGTTTTTCTAGATCTTACACATACGGTAGGACTTCTTGGGCGGGTGATCAGCTCGTCGCAAGGCCTCTACCTGTACACAAACACAGAAAAACGCACACAAACATCCATGCCCTGAGTGGGATTCGAACCCACGATCCCTGCTTCCGAGCGAGCGAAGACAATGCACGCCTTATACCGCTCGGCTACCGTGACCGGCATGTGGTCATCTTACTACTCAGAAATTATCTATGTTTTCCTTGAAAAGAAGTGAGTTTTGAACATCGCTTTACATACTTCGCCATACTATAATTATTTACTTTAACTGCACTACCTACACATATATCCTGGCGCCGCACGGCGGGTCCCGACTAACTAAATAATTAACTGAGCCCGAAGAGTAAACTATATGCCTATCTGCCTGTCTGTCCACAGCAGTGGCGTAGCATGACTACCGAAAGCAGGGAAGCAACTTTATATACGTGTATATAAATTGTTTCTACATGCCCTATAGTTTCTATCTTCTATTTAAAAGGAAACAGTAAATAGTTTAATATGTATTGTATATTTAAGCTAATATATTTAAATAACACATAATTATCAACACAATTTTATAGCCATCAAATGACAGGGTTGTGAACCTGGAATATAATTAATGCTTACTTTATTGTTTATAATTCAGCTCGATTCTTCTGTTTTTCTTGGCAAACAGATCAATAACCTCATTTAGAAAGCTGGGTTTGGACTGCAGTTTGTTTAGGAAGGACTTTTCAATGTTCATCAAAGCCAGTGATGACAACCTATCCTGGTTCTGCGAATTTCTTAAGTAGTTTTTTAATCTCTTCAGAGCTGAAAATGAGCGTTCATCTGCAGCACTTGTCGCTGGTATTGTTAATACTAGCTCACATAATTTGAAGATTTGCGGGAAAACGCATGATAACTGAAGAGCATACATATATTGATGTAAGTCATACACACTATCTTTTGCCATATCTGGGTCCGAAAACATTACTAAAAGTTCACTCTTTAAGGCAACAAAGTCAAAAAATGCACCATAATTTTCTTTTAAACAGGAAAATGCTTTTTCAGGAAATGAGGTTCTATACATGGGAAAGTATCTGGCATCAAGAAGACTCAAGAAGAGGAGCGTAGCGTTCTCCGAAAATCTAACAGAGACATTCTGACACACGACATCAATAATTTCACAGAACAGCCGTTTATAGGAGTTTTTTCTTTCTTCTCCACTCATTGAGTCAATGCGAATTCTTTTGGGTCGAGTTGGGCCATTTGAATCGAAGACATTTTCCATTTCACTCCAAAGGTGGTCAAATCCTCCCCTTAATCTTTGCATGTGATGCTTAAATTCGTCTATTTTGGTATTGCAAAAAGCTATATCAGATCTCTTAGTTTGTAGGATTTTGAAAAGAGCGCCAGAATATGGAAAAATTGAAGAAAATATTTTCAGCATGAAATTGAAATCGAAATCCCTTAGAAGAGAGAGAAGTCCGCGTGCAGAAGAAATTGTTTCTACATCCCATTCTTCTGGTTCCTCTATTATAGACACAAGAAGATTCTCAATTCCTTCTCTGTATTCATGCACAGTTTCAGCAAGTCGGCTATGGTACTGCCATCGAGTAGGTGCGATAGAAGGAAATCTTTTCCTAAGGTGGGAATCCAATGCTTCAGTCCTTTTTGTGGACTTGGCAAAAAAAGTTCTAAAGCCAGAGAGAGTAGCAAAGAAGACCTTAACTTCCTTAATAAAACTAGCAGATTGTGCTAAGACTAAATTTAGTCTATGCGCATAACAATGAACAAAAATGGCGTTTGGGTACTGCTCGCGAATTTTTGCTTGTACTCCTGCATGTTGTGATGCCATAACAGCAGCACCATCATAAGTCTGTGCAATGAGTTTGGGACCACATTCAAAATCATTTAAAATCTCAAGAGCATGGTTAAACAAGGAATTGGCAGAACGGTCAGAGCTCACGTCTGTAAAACGCAGAAACCTTTCTTCAACATTGCCATCAGCTGTCACATATCGAAGAACTGAAGCCAACTGACACTTATTCATCACATCTGAAGTCTCATCAAGAATTAAAGAAACATAATTAGCCTTTGAAATTTCCTTTTTAATTTCCATTGTCATCAATTCAGATACAGAATGTATCAGTTCATTTTGGATGTCAGGAGAAGAACCACGGAAAGCAGTTGAAGACTCTAAATGATTGTGTAAATCAGAATCATAACGTGCCAGCATATTTAAAACCTCAATGTAATTTCCTCTATTAACAGATGCCACGCTTTCATCATGTCCCCGAAATGCTAAACCCTGAGAGCCCAGAAAACAAACTGCTGTAATTAATTGGCCTACAAATTTCCTGTTCTGTTTCACAGCTTCATTGTGTTTTTCAATTGACTGTTTGTATTGGCTGCTTAGAGAAAATTCAATCCTTCTGTTTTTACCAAACAGTGTAATTTCTTTAAGACAAGCAATGTGATTAACTGAATGCCCATGTCTTTTGCCAGATTTGTAAATGTTGTTAATGTCATTGTAACCAGCACTGTTAAACACGTGTTTTTCTTTAGAAAACAAGAGACAAGGCCAACAGAATAATTTTTTTAGTTTATCACACCCACACAACCATGGAATAGCCTCATATAAACTGGTATTGAAATGCCGTGTGCAAGATTTCATTTTTGTATGTAAAGTTAGATTAGGCCTAGGTGCACCTTCTTCTATTATCTTAAGTTTCTCATTATAACTGAGTGAACTGAACGGTGTTTGAAGAAGTTTTTCAATCACACAGTGGTTATCACATGAAAGTGTCATGTTTCTATTTTTAACTTAACAGCAATCACAAAAACACTGTCATAAAGTTATAATTACGCAAAGCAAAACAAATTCTGTATCGATAAAAATACAGAATAATAACTAAACTGACTTGTGCATAAGTGACACGCTAACACCTTTGTGAAATTAGTAAACTCGCTTAACTGCAAGGTCACAGACTATCTTACTGCAAACTGCAATGCCTTATATCTGGCAACATTGCTGGAAGCACGAAGCTGATAGCATACCATAACGTATAGCTCACTTACAGACAACATTGACATGAGTCAGCCAGTTAACCCAAGGGAGGGTGGAAGCGAAAGACCTGCTGCTTCCGCGCGTGTTGCAGTTTAAAGTTCCCTGCATTTTGGAAGAAAATAACTGATCTATCCTGATAAATTGTTTATGTAACACATTAAAACTTGCAATATTCTCATTATATGTAATATATGTTCTCAGATTAATTAATATTTTGAAGTATGAAATATTTTTTCGAAATTGAAAAATTGCCAGAAATGTTCTTGGTTGCTTTTCTATAGGGAAGCGATGCTTCCACCACATCCATGTACCCTACGCCCCTGGTCCACAGCCCTTTTTTGGATCTTGGCTGCTTTTTCATTTTCTTCATTTTTTACACAGTCGGCAGGACTCCTTGGACAGGGATCAGCCCGTCGCAAGGCCGCTACCTGTACACATGACGGCACAAACACAATACACGCACACACAGACATCCATGCCTCAAGTGGGATTCGAAGCCACGATCCAAGTGTTTGAGCGGGCGAAGACAGTTCATGCCATAGACCGCTTGGTCACTGTAATAGGCCCGAAGAGCAAACTAATTACGGTAAATTTAATGGTCTCAGGTAACCAAGAAAGTCCTCGCGATTTGTGATGCCTTGCTACATTTGCAAGAACCTGCCCACGTGTAGCTACATTAAGTTAAATGGGAATTGGTTAGTGAGTAGCTAAAGAGTGGGAAAGAGGTGATGAGCCTAAGTTTCAAGTTTTCAGCATTCGACTGGAGAAAGAAATCCCTTGGAAAATCTCGGAATTCGAACAGATACCAGCAGAATCTTTATGCAAGAAATGAGCGTGGATGGACACTGCAGAGACTGGATTTCTGCACTAGGAACTGTGAGTGTACAGTTTTTGTGACCTGCAGTGACAAGCGGAGATCCAGCATCTGGGTCTGGATGTGGGCTAATGGGAATTAAATTGGATTTGCATCCTTTGTTTTGTTGCCTTCTGAATTAACGTGTCCAGAAGGTACAAACAAAATTGTGTAAGGCGGATATGTTGATGGCAGTTCAATTAAAATGTAAAGGGCGTGGTTCAATGCCTAATTCAAGCGTTTTCACTTGAATAATGTGTTATGACCGTTCCCTGCTACCTGGGCGTCTCATTAGCCAGGAGCCTTCCCCACCCTCTGAACTACAAATTCCTCAAGTGTAGTTATTGAATCGGTTACAACTTGCGGGTGTGGGCCACGCTTCTGTAGTCTCACAAACGAACCCTTTCATTGAATCAGCCATTCGTTCTGCGCAGGCGCGTGAAGCCTGCTTTCCGTACCCTTTAACTTACCAGTTTCTGCAAGGACAATTTACTCTCGTTATTATTGCAAGTTGGAACATTGAAGTCAGGGCTGTTTAGATGGGCAATATGGGAAGGAAACTCATGTAAAGTGTTGGATGAGTAATCAGTTTCTGATATTTAGAGCGATGCATTATGGAGATGTGAACAGACTCAGACTGTCTGAAAATGAGCTTTCTGGAGAGGAAAAGGAAGACGTACGGGGGGGGGGGCTCATGAACTGTGCTGTAACAAAAGAGAGGCGCATATTTAGATGTGCATTGTTTACTGTTTACCCAACTTTGAGTACTGTACGTGCCTTTATAATCATTTGGTTAAAATATCCGAGGGTTGAGGATAAATTCAGCAACGAAATTAGGATAATGGCATTTGGATGAGCAGATCCGATTATAAGCAAGAAATGCACAAATTAATATTTCTAGTTGTTTGGGATATAATATATTGTGACATTACATTGTCCGTTGCTAGCTAACGGCTGGATAAACAAATATTGCGGCAGCGGATACTCACGGAACAATAGAACCGTTGTAAGCGTGTTTTCTGTGCCGTCCGTTCCGAGGCTATATAGCGAGGACGAATGAGAACGTAGCGCCTACACAGAAAGATTGATCGCTCCCCTCACCGAAAAGGAGGTCCCAATTATAAACACGTACATGTCTAGGAAAGAAGAAAAATATTGGTCATGGATCTCGAGGAGAATGAAGCGAGGAATGACTGTGCTGGCGAAGGTCAGCAGCAGTTTAACCGGTTGTGGCATGCACACATCTGCCGAAGCATCAGTCGCTACCGATTTACAGTTTCTAATTTCTGCACAATGTCACGGTAAAACTCCAGCGACTCAACTACTTCACTGTGCTGTTTAACATAACCCAGTCTTCAAACCGCTGTCTTGCGTTATTACACAGTTCAATGTCTTGAATGTTAATCATATTCGGATCTTGAAGTTTTCACTCCCTTTGTATTTAACTGAATAATAATTCGATCTAGTGTAACCAGTTGAATATAGAAATATAGAAGTGCACCTTTACGTGTTTCTACCACTATTAACAATCATCAGAAGGTTCTCCAAGCAGCGTGACGAGTCGAGATGTCCGTTACTAAGACTTTCATGAGTGTTAATTGCTTACAGTAGCGACGTGGATTAACGTTATCAGTCGGCGTACTCGGACAGTATCACGGAGACGTTAAATAATAAGAACCAACAACGAAATTGATCCAGAAACATGATAAAATAATAAAGGAATTTGTAAACAATTTAAGAGGTGCAGTATTTCCTATTTTAATTGTAGTATCTGATGTACAGAGTGACAAGGAACCCACTGTTAACAGACAAACAGCACAGTTGTATTTAGTGTTTTGATTCGCTGTCTGAGAGAAGTTCCGTCTGCAACCTTCCGGTTAACTTTGTTGGCAGCAGTGTTACGTCTTCCTACCGCAAAGTCACGGGGTGAATGAAGTTTTTCGAAGCTAAGCAAACGGTGAAAACAATGGCGAAAACAGAGACAGTTGGTCCAGTAGGAATTTCAATTCAACGTAAATTGGCATACAAGCCGGGATAGCGACTAGCTGGACGACCGAAAGGTCGGAGTTCGAGTCCCGGTTAGGGGAAAATATTTATTCTCTCAACGCCTTCCAAACCAGCTCTGGGGCCCACCCAGCCTTCTATGCAGTGGGTACCGGGGGTAAAGCGGTCGGGACATGAAGCTGACCACTTACCGTCAACTAGTGCCGAGGTCCAGAATACATCCACTCCCCCATACATCTTCATGGCGTAATGCTTAATTACTTGAGCAGAGGGACCGCTTTGCCTTTACGTAAATTGGCGTAAGGATTACAGTTCGAAGGACAGATACGATTTTGCAGCCACCATAACTTTGACGGGGCACATGTTTTACAGTGTCAAATCGTGGGACCTGGACGGGCCCCTACCGTAGTGATGGCTGTGCCGTATCCTCATGCTGTGGGCCCCAGTGCAGAATGCTGCTGCGTCACTCTCTCGGAAGTGGGATCTGAAGTTTCCGGGATTTCGGTTCGCTTCTGCTGTCTTCTGCCGTTACAGCTGCATCAGCTGTCAGACTTACATGTGGCTGACCTACCGTCTCACAAGAAACGCTGCTGTAATTGAATTCTCCCACTTAAAATCTCTGCTATTTTGCTATTAATTATGGTCACCTGTGTTTATTGCTGTTTTTATTGCTGCTTGCGGTTTTCCACCTTATGCCTGGCCTTATTTTTATATTTGTAATTGACTTTTAATGGACGTACTTTTTAATGTGGGGGCACGCGGTGGCGTAGTTGGTTGAGGAACTATGCTACAAGCCGGAAAGTTCGAGTCCCGATGAGGCGGATTTTTTCAGTTGACCTAATCCTGCAAGCCGCACTATGGCCCTGGGGTCGACTTAGCCTCTAACAAAAATGAGTACCGGAAAATCTTCCTGGGGGCAAAGGGCGTCCGGCGCATAAGGCTGACAACCTTACCACCATCTGTGAGCCGATTGTCTAGATAATGTGGGAGCCTCGACGTCTCACAACCATATGGACTTCCATGGCCTCTTACAGGAATAACTTTACCTTTTACTTCTTAATGTATAGCTTCTGTATTGTGTCGGTTGAATTATGTTTTATTTTCTTACAAGTGGATTTTATTCGTGCATTTGTACTTCTTATTGTCAAGCACTATGATAAATAAATTGAGTAATAATCATAATAATCATTATCAGATCTCTAAGAAGTTATCCCTATGCTTAATTGAGTGAATGGGTATATGAGAGTGGAAATGTATCGGTTCGTTGATAGGACTCACTCACTCATGAAGATGAGCCCACCTTGAGAATCCGCCACTTGTGCAGCTGCTCAAGAACTTCCCAGCACTTTATGGAACCCCCAAGGTTCATTGCCGTGTTCACAAGAGCCCACCACTGGTCCCTATGTCGAGCCAGATCAATCCAATCCATCCCATCCCATCCTAACTAAGATCCTTTTTAATATTGTCCACCCACCTACGCCTTGCTCTTCCCAGTGATCTCTTTCCTTCTGGCTTTCCCACC